ATATAGAGGTATATTCAATCTCTAAATCTTAAAATATAACAATATGTTTCCCTTGATTGTAGGATATAGGTCTTATTCTACTTTATTCTTGACATGAAAGTAGTTCCTGGTCAATGAATGAGTTCTAGACATTAGTATTGCTGATTATCAAATAGAATAGCTTTAAATAACTAGATTTGAATCTTCACAGTAACATTTAATTATAAAACAGAAGTTGTATATATTTGTCCTATATAAATCTGGTGAGAATTATAATAATTAGAGCAGATGATCCAGCAGTCACGCTTCTTGATACTTGGTATGATTTGGATATAAGTGCACCAGAAAAGCCCAAGTCTTTGGTCCCTAGTTGGTGTTGTTAGGGATATTCTTGAAACACAAATAGAGCACTTGGGTGGGTTCTTAGGAATACTTTCCTTTTCTTCAGTCTCATTTTGTATGATTTCTGTCTGAAATGAAGTAAATAAGCCCTCTGTCAGATATTTCCACTCTCTTGACGTTATGTCTAAGTACTTAAGGCCAAACTTTCTTGGGATGAGTGTAAGCCAAAAATAAGTCTGCTTTCCTTGTGTTGTTTATGTCAGACACATCTTGGCTATAATAGCACATCGCTAATACTGTATTTATCTATAAGTAGCTGATGGCTTTTGGTCATACACAACTTTGCACAATGATGTTATAGTACTTTTCTGCATAGTTTCCAAACTTGGATACAAAAAAGATATATTTTGTTAGTGATTAGATTAACTGTGGTACACCTCTAGAATGTTACTTGGGTTTCAAAAAGGAGTGAATTAATAAGAATGAAATACCAGACAGGAAACTTAATTGAAACTCACCAAGTCAAAGTAACCAGCATGAAAAGACTGTACATTATGTGACCATAAATAAAATATATTATTGAAAAAATCTATGAAGATAATAAACAGATCAGTGTTTTTCAGTATTTAAGAAGGAAGGGATGAGAGATGGAGCAAGGATTTTAAGGCATTAAAATATTCTACTTAATACAACTGTGGTGGATACGAATGATTATTCATGTGTTCAAAACCTACAGAATGTAAAAATACCAGGAATTAGCCAAATATAATCTATGGGCTTTAAATAATAATGTTCTGTCAAAGTAGAATACTAAATTCAATCACAGGTATCATTATTATACAAGATACTTATAGTGTTTGAAGGTGTATATAGTTAAAAAAAACAGGATATCTATATGTTCTGCTTAATTTGCTTAATTTTCTGAGAGTTTAACACTGCTCTAAAATAACACACATGGAAATTGATGAGCACACATCTTGGACTGTTATGGTGTCTTACAGAATTTCTCCCTCAAATAAACCTAGTATTTTATGAAATGAAATACTTAAAATAGTATGCTGATTGGGTGAAGGATAGGGTTACAAGGCCTGATCCCTAGCTGAGAAACTGTTGCTAATTATTGGCTGCTGAAAGAGGGAGAGTCCTTTTTCTTTGTGTGCATGGAGACTGATAAGTTGCCAATGCTCCAGTGGATGGCTCCATATTCATTTGTTAATTGGACTCAATAGGCAATTTTTAACAAAAGACAGGCGTTGGTGGCACACATCTTTAATTCCAGTACTAGGGAGGCAGAGGCAGGCAGATCTCTGTGAGTACGAGGCCAGCCTGGTCTCCAGAGCGAGTGCCAGGATAGGCTCCAAAGCTACACAGAGAAACCCTGTCTCAACCCCCCCCCAAAAATGAGCAAATGGAGTTTGCAGGAGGAAGTTTGCATGTTGTATGAGGGAGTCCAGGAGGAGTTAGACTGAGGTATCCAGGTGATGAAAATAGATAATATACATGTTTGAAAATTTCAAGTAATAAATAAATATTACTTTCAAATCAGTAGAAATATGCTAACTGAACAAAGCTAGACATAAAAGTCACTTGTGTTATCATTCTACACACATTAAATGCCTAGAACAGTGAAAACCACAGAGACAGAAGTTATATCTGTAGTTTCCAAAGGCTTGGAGAAGCATTGGTGGTAGAGGCAGGACATATAAGGAGAATGAAATTTAATTTCATTTATTTATTCTTTCCTTCCCTTCCTCCCTCTTCCCTCTCTCTGACTTTGTTGTTGTTTCTCTCTCTCTGAGTGTGTGTGTGATGAAATATTCAGTGTAGTGATTGAAATAGTCTAACACCGATTGTTCATGCAAATATATTTGTGAGGATAATTAACATTGGATTGAATGAAGAAGACACTCATGAACATAAAAACTATATCTCAAGTTGCTGTAAAAAGAGAGTTTATAGATAAAATTTAGTACACTGCATTTATTTAGAGTCTCCTTTCTTCAGTGACCTGATCAACTACTTTCATTAAAATGAGGAGCTCCCTAACACTATCCACCATCACTGTAAGACAAAAAAAATGAAAACTCTCCAGCTTTAAGAGGATAATAATACACTCCATGTGAAGCTATGGTGCAATAATAAAAATAAATACAATAGAAAATAATGATGATGTGCTAGGCATGGTACATATACCTTTAATACCAGCACTAAGGAGGCAGAGACAGGAAGATCTCTGTGAATTCAAGGACAGTCTAGTCTACATAGTGCAATCTAGGATGGCAAGGGCTATATAGTGAGACCATGTCTTAAAAATAAAGACAAAAAGATAAAAAAACTATCAAGAGGAAGAAAAAGATAACTGCAAATGTTTGCTGTATGCTGAGGACAGAATTAAATGCTTCAAGTGTTATGTGATTCTTGCAGGAGTCTTTGAGATGGTTCCTATTATTTTGCTGATTTTTGTATATGAGGGAGTTGAATTACAAACAGGTGAACCAATTTGCTGGAGGTCACACATCAAGAAAACTTAGAATACGGATTCAGTTCTGATTATCTGAGAGCCAAGATCTTAGTAACTGGATCTGCAAGGATATAAACTCTATAATACAAGGATACAATGCAAATTGGCAAACATGACTATGCTAGTAGTTTGTTTTTGTCAACTTGACCCTAGCAGTATCATCGGGGAAGAAGGAACCTCAATTACGAAGGCACTTTCATCATATTGGCATGTTACTTGATGTGGAAGGGTCCAGCCCTGTTAGTGTTGCCATGCCTGGGCAGGTGGTCATTGGTTGTGGAAGAAAGCAGGCTGAACAAGTCATGAGAGCAAGTCATTGAGCATCTTTTTTTCATAGCCTTTGTTTCAGTTCCTACCTTGAGCTTCACCCTTGACTTCTCTAGATGGATGATGGATAGTGATGTTCAGGTATGAGCAAAATAAACCCTTTCCTCCACAAATTACTTTTGTGTTGGGACCCAGCCCCCACGGGGTCTCTGTGAGTTGTTTTCCAGCATAGCCACAGGTACCTCCTGTTTTTCTAAGCCCCGCCCACTAACATCCTGTTATGAACCTTTCTTGTTATTGAAACATTATGCCTTGCCCCCATCCCCTTCTTGCTTAGTTGGCTGTGGGCGGGGGTTGTGGTTTCATTGTTTATGATGGGGCATGGTAATGTGTTCTGCTAGCAGGTGATGTTTTTCCCATCTCCCCTTGTATATAAGCTGCTGGCTGCAATAAACCGATGGCATTCACTTCTACCAAATGACCGGAGTTCTGTCCTTCTTAATCCGCGGACTCTTGCCTGGTTTGGTTAGTCAGTTGCTGGTGTTGGCAACAGTGACACTTTTGCTCTTAGTTTTCATCACAATAATAGAAAACAAACTAGAATAGTGCCACTGAAGTGTCAAGTAAATGTGCTACTCAGTCCTCTGCAGGCATAAACCTGTTATGGTGGTACATGCCTGTCTTCTTAGCTTTCCAGATGCAGGATGATGATGATCTTAAGGTTATTCTTGGGCTACTTGGTGAGTTTTGAGGCCTACCTGTGATATACAATATTTTGCTTCAAAAAAATGCTTCAAAAAGATAGCACGTGTTGATAAAACCTAATGTCCTATTTGCATCTCAGGAAGGAATAAAAAAAGTCAGTTCATCTCAAGTACACCACAAGAATGTTTCTGAATGTCAGCTTAAAATGAAGGCATAAAGTAAGTATAAAGAAACATGTTAAATAAAATAATTTTATGAAATATAGCTAAACAGAAATGACTACTGAGAACTCTGGAAATGTTGAGGTGGCAAAGTGTTTGTGATAACAGCATGAGGACCCCAGATTGGACCACAAGCATCATTTAAAAGGTGGTATATATCAGTAATCCCAGTGCTGGGAGTGGGGCAGGATAATTCTAGGAATTTATGGCTAGAATATTTAGATGAATCATTGATGTTGATGTTCAGTTCAGTGAGAGACCCTGAAGAACACTGCCCCCCAGAAAAAGGAATGAAGGGTGGATGGCAATCTCTGGCTTCCAATCATGGTAACCCTCACACACAAATCCATCCATACATACATAAACACAACACACACACACACACACACACACACACACACACACACACACACACTATTCACTATATTCACCAAAGAGATACAAAGTATATAACGTTGAGAGTGATTAAAACATAGTTTTAGCAAAGCAAGTCGGAATACAAACTGAAATGGGTACAACATATTGGATGCACCAAGATAGGATAGATATGGAATGTTTTCTTTTAATTTTTCAATTGCTAATGGACTACACATTGTTGATGCATTTATTGTATGTATATATTGTTTATAGCTGTTGTACTTATTGCATGTAGTTTTTCTTAAAAAAATAATTTAAGCCAGGTGGTGGTGGCACACACCTTTAATTCCTGCACTTGGGAGGCAGTGGCAGGTGGATTTCTGTGAGTTTGAGCCCAGTCTGGTCTAAAAGAGCTATTTCCAGGACAGTCTCCAAAGCCACAGAGAAACCCTCTTTCGAAAAAGAAAGAAAGAAAGAAAGAAAGAAAGAAAGAAATAAATGTCTAATAACGGTAATTGAATAACTTTTGTAAATGATTAAAATATGTAGAATTTTCTGTTATTCTTCATTTTAGGTAAGGTTGTGATACAAAAAGAAGAGGCCCAAGCTCTAAGTGGCTGAACACATAATAATTTATTTATTACTCTCATTACTCTCAGTCCACTGCAAGTTCATGAGTTTTCCAGGTCAAACTCCTTGTAAAGTGTGACATAAAGATACAGCTTGCATCATTCTTAGAGGCGTGCCTTCTCATTCCAGTTATGGTGGAATGTAAAGAGACAGTTGAAGTGTCATGCAGGAATTGTTTCTGCTCACAGGTGGAAATGACACATCACTTCTGTTTTCAGTTCCTCTGGTCTAAGTAGTCAAATTGGACCACCTAACTACAAAGAGCTGGGAAGGAATGGGAGCACAGAGCTATTGGATGAATTGTGTTTTGCCATATTCTACAAACAATATAAGTTTTAAAAACACTTAATGAATATTGTTGAAAAAACACTATATGGCTATAAAATACCCATTAAATACAATAATTTTATCAGCAATATACATATAGATATATTTGAAGAAACAGTTGTAGTTATGAAATCCCAAGGTGATCTGGCATGACATTACTAGAATACTGAAAGAACCACATTGAGAGAGTCCAATGTTGCCACTGAAACATTCTGCAGAGATGACAAGTCACTTATCTACTAGAGGTTTCCTCTAACTTTGCTTTTGACTCAGAGAATCTGAGGTTAAATCATTTGTTTGAAAGAAACACTGAGCCTCTCTCATCATGACAAAATACTTTATACCATGACAATATTATTGTATCTTCTATAATAGATGTTTTTGAAACATAAACTTATATTTTATACTACTATGATATAGAAATGTGAAGTAAAAATATTTTAACTCATTTTTAACATTAGTGGTGAATTTCAATCAGCAACAGACACAAGGCACCGGATCTTAGTAATATATGGACACAAAAAGATAAATTATATAATCATTACCTAAACTTAACTTCCATTATACTGCAGTGCTAATATTTAAGACAAGAAACATTTAATGGACATACTAATATTTAGGCAGTAGTTTATGTAACAAGACACACAGCATACTAAAAGTCAGACAAAACATGATTTTAGTAAACCAGCTTCAATATGAAGGCATTGCAATTTCCTAAAGACCTTCTTTTTACATGCTAAATATTTTGGGGAAATGTACAATTTAAACACAGTAATGAGATGAAAATAACACCCAAAGTTTAACATATGAAAAACTTGAACTTTATATCTTAACCATAAATTCTTTTTAAAAGTATTATGCTTGTCATAAAGAATATCACTGATTAATTAAAATGGCAGGATAAGGTACACAAAAATCCTAATGTTTATTCATAAAAAGCAAATAATCAAAACCAGGGACAGTTTTAAATGATTCTCCTTCAAAAAATAACAGTTAATTCAAATCATGTAGTCTTCTAATGTAAAATAGCATTTAGTCCTGGAGAGTGAATAGTACTGAAGTGGAGGTAAATGTCATAGCTTTGGGGGCTTTTATGCTGTAAACTGCTTTCTTGTTCTCTTGATCAAATACATAACAACATTCTACAATTTCAGCATGTAAAAAATAAATGGCTGCTGCACTGGCAAAATAAGATGTGTAAGGATTAAAGGCACACTATTCAGCTAGCCAGAGTAGCAAACACTTCCCCCTCCCACTCCCTGACTTGCGCCCTTCCCCAATGTAAACAAAAAATTCTTGAAAAAATGTAACATCAACAAATTATTCTACAAAATTAATTTTTGAACAACAATGCTGTCTTATCTTCAAAATATCAACCATAATTGTCAGCATGATTCTGTCTTTTAAAGATGTCTAAAAATCACATACATTTAACATTTGATATATTTTTGGTCAAAATTATTCATTGCCTAAAACATTTTACTTGAACTCCAAACATTTTAACACTAGTATGACAACTGAGGTTTGGTTCCAAGAGGAGTAACTATTAGGCATAAAGACAGACATTAAACAAACAAAATTTCACATATATAAGCTGCAGGCAACAAATACAGCCTTTTCTGGCACAGTGGCATTTTACTGGCAACTTAAAGTCCAGAATAACTCTATTAATAAAGGGAATCTCATGCATTTTGGTAAATGTGACCTAGCTTTTCACAGTTGAAGTTTCCTTTAGATTTTGTTTCATTTTAAATGTGGAAAGCCTGTTTGGTTTTTCTGTTATGCTGACTTGTGACTTGAACTGGATTTCTTCTTTTTCTTCTTACTGTGTTTCTTGTGATGTTTCTTCTTTTTTTTCTTTTTTAGCTTTTCCATTTCTCTTTCTTGATCATCATATTTTCTTTTCTTTTTTGCCTGCACCTCTTCTTCATAATCTGATTCAAATGAGGATTCTGAAGAGGATGGCTTTTCCTCAGAAGCTTTCTTTCTTTTCTTGCTGTAGCTTTTGGTATATTTTTCTTTATCTGTTTCATCCTTTGCCTTTTTCTTCTTTGGAGGAAGCTCCTTGCTTGGCAATTCTGATTCACAGCTGGAGCTATCTGACGACTTGTGTGCTCGGTTCTTCTTTTTCTTTCTCCTTTTTCCTTGTTTCTTGCGCTCATCCTCAGAATCTGAAGAACTGCTGGATGAATCAGAGCTTGATGAAGAGGATGTGTACCGACAAGATTTCTTCTTTTTCTTTTTCTTTCTCTCTTTTCTTTTGGATGAATTGACATTTCCACCTAATATTTTCTCTCTGCTTTTCTCAAGCTCTTTCTTCCAATTTTCATTCATTTTTTCTTCAAATTCAGCCAATGCCTTAGATCCTTTCTTTTTATTTTCTAATTGTTTCTTTACTTCTTCCCAGGTGGGCCTTGGTCGATTCAGATAATCTTGTATAGTTGGGCCTGCGGATTGACTTGCACCCCTCCATCTAGCCATTGCTATAGGATTCATATATGCTACTCGGTTATCACGTTTCCCCATGGTGCCAGGTGGTTGTCAGAGAAGACTACCAGTACCAAGGTTACTGCTAGTTTAACAAGGAGTCTTCATTCTGTGAAAGAAGCAGATCAAAAAATAATTGAACACCTTTAAAACACAATAATATATAAGTTTAATTTCATTAATAACCATCACTGAAGAGGAGGGGGAAGATTGGATAAATGAAAGTTAGAGCAGGAACAGAGCAAACCAGTGTTTTCTGAACATGATAAGACTGCTGCCCTCATGAAGTCATAGTAGCTGTTGTTTCCTGGACAACATTAAGAAGTCACCATTCTTGCACAGAGATGGGAGGACTCCAATCTCTACCTCTAACAGAGGAGCTATTAACAGTTGACAGATTGTAGGGAGAGACAGCTGGTCTTTAAGGGAGTGGCTCCTGCTAGGATGGCCATGGTCTAGTGAATGACTCCATACCCATGAGAGTACATGAGTAGCACAAACAAAAATTCAGAAGATTATTTTAAAAAAAGAATACTCAAATTTGGGTGTGGGAGATGTAAGATTGGATCTGGAAGAAACTAAGGGATAAGCAGGGGTAAATATGATCAAATTACACTGTATGAGATTCTCTTAAGTATTAAAATGTTATACTTAATAGAAAATTTCAAAACTGTTGCATTTTAGGAAAAATCTATACATCAATTTACTTTTTTGCTTAGTACACACAATATACTATGAATTGCTATAAAGTTAAATGTATTTTATTGATCTCATGTAAGAGTCTGCCAGAGACCAGTAGTATTTAATAACCATTTTATTTTACTAAGAATCTTACATATCATTTTCCTTTCTTTCATTCCTGCCTTACATGGTAAAGACAGGAAAATTTACAGTTAAAATCTACCAGGCAAATAGATATTCTTTAACCTAGGTAAGTACAGAAAAATCTACCCCCATTTCTTTTGACAGAACCCCAGATGTAATATTTGGAAAATCGTTCTTTCTCATCTCTCATATCTAAACCATTACTAGACTGGGCTGTTTAAACCTTTATAATAATTATCATTCTATTCCTTTTTCACAAATACATTGTTATTGGCTTTGTCCATGCCACTATTACTTCCCATTTGATTTCACTCTCTATCATTTATTAAATATTTATAACCAAAGACTTTGTTAATCACTGCAATGGATTATCTCATTAAATCCTGAGCCTAAGCCTATGAAATTGAGCATATTATTATACCCATTTCACAGATAAACTAACACTTAGAAAATCTGACTATAACTTGTATGAAGAAACAGAGATAAAATTAAAATACAAACAGAACTTAAATCAAAGCTGCTTTATTTTCAAACCCTATGCACATAACACATTTTATTTAACCTTCATGACTACCTTTAAATTATTTCCCCTATTTCTACTTCCTGTCTTCTATTACAGGCCCACAGTAATCTGAGAGATCATGAAAAAAATTTAAAAGCTTAACAATTTATCAAAACGCAAGGAAAATACTATAAATGTATTATTTGAAATACCTTGAATTTAACTCTTATTTTAATTTGGTTACTAACTCTTGTTCACAATTTTCTTGGTTCATGAAACATGACAATTTCTAAACTTGAGCATTATAATTAAAATTCTTCTGGTTTAAGTTCAAGTATCAGTTCCTCAGAAATAAAATCTGTAGAATACATTATTTAATGTCCCTAATGTGATAAGACACAATGTTTAACACCAACAATTTTATATAACTCAAACTTATAATGAAGTAACTTGCTCCTGTCTAACCTTCATCCTCTTTTTCAACGTGTTAGAACTTATTTCTTAATTTATAGGACATATTAAACTGATAGTCATTTTGCTTCTGCATGTTTGTCGACTTCTAAACATAAGGCCAAGAGGGGTAAAGGCCATGTTTGAATTATACTATTTTTCATGGTGTTCCTAATATATAACATAATTTGGCTCATACTAAATACTCAAAATATTTGGTCATTTATAAATACAATAATTGATACATGGATTGGCTATGTAAAAGAAACATTCAGAAGGAAATCCCCAAATGTAGTCTTATTTATTTATCTATTTTGTTACAGTATTATGTTGTCCTTGGAGACCTGGAAATCCCTATGTTAAACAGGTTAGTTTGAAATTCACAGAAATCTGCCTGCTGCTGCCTCTCAAGTGCTGGGATCATAATCAATCTGAGCTAGTCATTTTTATACAGAAATCTGGAGAATAAACAAATTCACCTTGGAAATGAAGTAATGAAGGACATTTCAAGGAGGGGAAACAGTAAGCCAGGCGGTGGTGGCACATGCCTTTAATACCAGCACTTAGGAGACAGAGGCAGGTGGATCTCTGTGAGTTAGAGGCTAGCCTGGCCTACAGATCAAGGAAAGGCTCCAAGGCTACACAGAGAAACTGTCTCAAAACGACAAAGCAAAACAAAACAAAACAAAACAAAACAAAAGAATGGGAAACAGTATGTTAGAAAACACTGCAATTACAAAGCATGTCATGCAGTTACTGATGGCATAGCCTAAAGAGATGTTAGTATGGGGGAGGTGCAGCTTCATAGGCAGTTAGAAGCTTGGGGACCCTTTTAAAAATCTGACTTTAAAAATCTTTGTCTTACACTTGATAAGAAATAAGTGCAACATTTTAAGCAGAAGATAAAGATGATCAGACACATGATAGATTTTTCTGTTAGTCACTATCTTCACTTCTGACCTGTTAATGCAACCTATAATAGCTACCTATCACAATATGAGCTTTATGACATGTCAGTGACAAGGTGGTGCCCTCCTGTGTTTGATTTACTGTGTTCTATATTCCATTCTCTTATATCCAGATACTATCAGGTTTTCTGTCATCTTCTTTCTTACTTCTGCACCAAAAACATTATTGTTTCTCTGACCTAAACACCAGAACCCCAGAGCACTTTAATTTACACTGGATTTGATAGTTCCTTCTGTTATTCTATGCATGTAGTAACAAGATCTATTCTAATTTTCATTCTTTGAGCTTCAGTTCTGACGTCAGTTAGAAAATCATGGAAAGGTCAATGCAAACAGGAAGTGGATCTATGTTAATGAGGTTTAGTTTACTGAGGGTTACATACAGGGTAGTTCATGGTTAGATGCTATTTTAAGCAAAAGGTGACATGTTCATAAATATGAGCATTTAGGAGACCATTCTTTATAGAAAGAAAGATGGGTTGAAATCAGGTAAGATTGAAGGCAATGAAAATATTTATGTATTCATGTTGTTGAGAATGAAATATTTTAAACAAAAATAGTGATGGTATCAATTGTTGAACTAGCAAAATATGTGTAACATATTTGAAGGTTAATATACTGACTTAGTGAAAAATTACATATAATGAACAGAGAAGAGAAAGGAATTAAGGCAAGGTTCTAGTTCAAAATACAAGTTAAAAGCAATAGCATTCATGAGGTAACATAAAAAAATGAAATAGAGTAAGGCTCAAGGCTAGGTTTTACACTTATAGTCTATGAAGTGCTCCTAGATACCTGCATTAATTCACACGAAGAACGTTGGATATACTGGTGTTGGTACTCTGAAAATGAACTGAGTTAGAAGTATAGTATCAGCAGTCACTCAGTGATGATTGAAGCCATGAGAAAAAAGTTAAAGTGTACCTTTCAGGAATATTTCAAATTAAATTTTAGAAAATTGTGTCTTAGAGCCATCATGGTAAGGATCAATCCAGAGACAGAAAGACTAGTCTATAAGATTAGTCAGACTACAAGAGCTAGACAAGAAAAAGAAAGCAATATAAGTGTCTTACGGTTTCTATTGCCTTTAAGGGAGACAATGATCATGGCAAATCTTATAAAAGAAAATGTTTTATAGGAGTGGCTCACTTTTAGTTCAGAGGTTTAGTTCATTATCATCATGGCAGGGAACAAGTCATCATGCAGCTAGATATGGTGCTAGAGGTGAGAGTCCATATATCTTGATCCAATGACAGCAGTAAGTGAACTGTCTCATATGGCATGGCTTGAGCAAATATGAGCCCTGAAAGCCTGCCTCCACAGTGATATACTTCCTCCAAGATCATGCTTACTCCAGTGACTCTCCCTTTGAGGACTATTTTATTTCAATGTACCACATTCCACTCCCTGGCTCCCAAAGGATTGTAGCTATATCATAATGCAAAAATGTGTTCAGGGCCACTTCAAAAGTCCCCATAGTCTACAACAGTCACAAACTTATTTCAAATTCTAAATTTCAGTCTCTTTGGAGACTCATGCAATCTCTTAACTGTAATCCCCTGTAAAATCAAGACCCAAAAGAGATCACATGCTTCTAACATAATGACAGTGGATATATACATTGCCACTCCACAACATAGGGAAGGGAGCAAGTGAGGAAATACTGGACTAAAGCAAGATCTAAAACCAGATGGGCAAACTCCAAACTCTGCATCTCCATGTCTGATGTCAAAATGTTCTTCAGATCTCCAACTCCTTTCAGCTGTGTTGACTGCAGCAACCGTCTTTCTCTTGGGCTGATTCCACTCCCTGTTAACAGCTCTCCTCATCAGGCATTCCCACAGCTCTGGCACCTCCACCATATTGGGATCTCCAAGGAAATCCAGGCTTGACCTTCACAGCTTCATGCAATGACCTCTCTAGGCCTCCATTTAGGGACATTTCTGATACATGCCTGAGCTCAGACGTTTTCCTTTGACATGGAGGAAGCTTCCATAATGCCTTTCTTCTATTGTTGTAACCAGAACCATGTGGCCAAAGCTGCCAAGTTGTGCTGGAACAAGGCCCCTTCATTCAATTACATCTTCATTAGCTTTCAGATTTTGATAGTTTACTTCATTCCCATAGCTTGACTATCCTGAAACTAGATCTGGACACCAGGCTGGTCTTGAACTCAGATATCATTCAATTACACCTTCGCCAGCTTTCTGTTTTCCACAGTTTACTTCACTGCCTAAACTTGGCCATTCTAGAACTTGCTCTGTATACCAGGCTGGCATTAAACTCAGAGATCAGCAGCCCTCTGCCTTCCCAGTGCTGGAATTAAAGGCATGTACCACCACAACTGGCTCTGAGATTTTCCTT